ATTTTTATCATCTTTATATATGAATGTATTTATATTTTTATTACATTTATTTATTATTTTTTAACTTTAAAAAGATAATTCACACAGAAAAGAAAATTCATAATATAAAGCAATCATATCTCTTCACAAAACTTGTATTAATGCACTCAATTCATATGGATTCATTTTACAACACCTTTTTGACCTTTTTGGATATTTTAAGTTTTGGTTACCTGGACTTTCAATGGAGGGACAGAAAACTCTCTTAATTTTTTTTTTTTAAGAAGATTAACTGAAGTTTTATGGATTTGGAACTACATGAGGGTGATTAAATTATGACAATTTTCATATTTTGGGTGAACTATCCCATTAAGCGTAATGAAATTATTTAAGATGATATACTTATAGTATTAAGTTGATTATATACATTTAAATGTTTCAGTAATGTTCATTTGTTCTTTTCCATTTATGTATACAGTAAAACAAAGTAATTAAATCTAACATATAGATTATTTAACAAATCTATAAATAAATCTATAAATATTTTATTTTTAGATAATCTTGTGAACAGAAAAAAAACTTTTGCATTATTATTATTATTACTGTGAATTAGAATTCCATAGGAAATGCATAAATGTCATTTTGACCCCCTTTTCAAAGACTTGGGGTAGTTTTTTTTAAACTATTAATAACAAATATGCAAAATTTTTGCTGAGGCTTACATACAACATTTATGAGAAATACATAAAATATAAATTAAATCATTTTATTCAAAATATAATCAAATAATAACAGCCTAAAGGGCCAGTTTTGACCCTTATGCATTCTAGGGTTAATATGTGCAAATGAGAACAAATGAGTTAATAAACATACATACAGAAGATTAGCTATCTTGTCAGTACTTAACCTCAGCATACCTGTCAGATCTCTTTATTAAGACTTCTGAAAGTACTTTAATATATTTAGATCGAGAGGAGAAGCCAGGGCTTTCACTCTCAAAATTCAGATGAGGAAGAGGATGAGGAAAGCTATCAGGCCCGCAGAAGAGGAGCATCTATGGATGACTTCCTCAGGGGCTCAGAGCTGGGCAGGCAGGTATGGCAGTTGAAGTGATTGCCTTACCATATAACAACAGGCATAAGAGGCAAATGTCAGCGTTGAATGCTTAGGTTTGTTGTATTAGCTTGTGTATTTGTTTTCTCTCACAATCTGCATTTCACAGTCTCATTACAGTCACAGCGAAGAGTATCATACTGAGAGCAGTCGAGGCTCGGACCTCTCAGACATCATGGAAGAGGACGAGGAGGAGTTGTATTCTGAAATGCAGCATGAAGAAGGCAGGCGACGAAACTCCCACAATGCACCCAAGGTATTTCAAAAAGGGAAAGACCTCTCACAATACCCCAGTGACATCTTGATTTGCATGGCTTTAACTAGTTTGGTTTCTTCCCGATTCAAGACCGGAGCCAGCGCTCCATCTTCGAGTCAGCTGGATCGGGAATCATACCGGAAGCCATCTCACCGAGAACCTCAACCTCAGCGCCGACCCCTCACGGTCCCATCCATTGGTCAGTGCATGCTCTCCCAGTAAGAGACAGGAGTCTGAGACTTGCGTTCAGGGCCTGTCTGTCCTCCTGCTCCACATTTTCTCTGTTTGAACTGTTCATAAGCTTGTCAATGTGTGCCAGACCACCACTGTATGTTCCAACCATAACCCTATCCTGTTGCTTTCAATCATTATAACTCTCTCTGAATATTTAAATGGATGAAAATAGAGATGCCAGAGTAGTTAGGCGTCTCCAGCCTGGGCAGGTTGACGCAGACCAGCCTTCGCATGGTATAACGACTCTCTGATTGGTGTTTCCCTCAGAGATAACCACTGAGAGTAACAGTGAAGGGAACCTCTCTCCCGTCAAGGAGGATGTTTACTATGGCAGTGTAGCGCGACACAGGACATGGTCCTCCCGAAGGCACGGGGGACACAGGCCTCCTTATGGTACGTGCATTTAGAGTGAGGTCCGAGGAGAAAGAAAATGGCCAAACGCATGAAACTGCACTGGACTGCACCGAGATGGAAGTTTGTGTTGGAAGGGGTGCTGTAAGATAGCCAATAGTGACATGTTTGCACAGAGAATGCTCCTCCCCCTTTGCACTGCCCCACCGATGGATGCCTGCCAAACCCCTCCTCTCTTTCAACCTGACCACAATCATACTTTTACTTTGGCCATGCATGACTGAATGGTTAAAGTTAAAGGGCGGCATCTCACACCGAACGAATGCCACTGAATATGTATGTAGGTAACGGTTGACCAGGAAGAGAATGCAAACGGTTCCTTGGCATTGACTGCAAAGGCAACTGTGTGGAATGCACATTGGGCATGCTGGAGTCACAATTGAGTACAGCTTCGTAGATGCGGCAGGGACAAAAGGAAACGGGTGTAGTTTTATCCGGGGCTAATGTGCCCCATCTGATGGGTCTTTCTCAGATCCAGATCTCTGCATGGTTACAGTAGCTCAGACTGCGTGTGCTCCCCCTCTTTTTTCTCTCTCTCTGTGTCTGTGTGTGCGCCTGTCAGGAGCTTCATGTTTGGCTTGCTGCTCATCTGTAACTGGCTGCCATATGGGTGTTTCACTCCCAATCACCACACACCCACACACACTGGCAAACACAAACAGTGACACACATCATAACCATCATATTACTGTAAGAAATGTCTGTTTTCTTCAACCCACCCAAGATGTGTTTGGCAAATAAATGGATTGTGCAAGTATGGAGAGGAATTTCACTTCATTGGAATGAATTGCATGCTTATTCATATTGTCTGTTGTAATATACAGAGATGATAACATGTATGCTGTTATTTACTTGCTTTAGTAAATCCTCTGGTTGTTTGTATGCTCATCTTTAAAAAGTTTTGAATGCTTGTACCTTAAAGACATGCATATTGTATATTGTTTTGTATACCAGGACAATTGGACGGCCATATTTGCGTAGTTGACAACAATATATTTTTTTGAAAGAAAGAAATGTATATTTTTGTTTAGCAAGGATGCATTAAATTGATCAAAAGTGACAGTAAAGATGTTTGTTACTAAAGATTTCTATTTCAAATAAACACTGTTCTTTTGAACTTCCTATTTATTTCCAAAGAATCCTGAAAAATAAATGTTATCACAGTTTTCACAAAATTATTAAGCAACAGAACTATTTTCAACATTGGTAAGAGTTGTTTCTTGAACACCAAATCAGCATGATTTCTAAAGCATCGTGTGACATTGAAAACTGAAGTAATGGCTGCTGAAAATGTAGCTTTGCATCATAGGAATAAATTACATTTTAAAATATATAATACAATTGAAAACAGTTTCAATTCTAATAATTTTAAGCAATTTTACTGTTTTTGATCAAATAAATGCAGCCTTGGTGAGCATGAGAGACTTCTTTCAAAAATCCTGCCAACCTCAA